CAGCTGTTGCAACTCGGAGCAATTTGCTTCCTGGCGTGGATTCAGGCGTTTGGCTGGGTGACAAGGAGTAGGCTTGGGGGATAATGTAAAAATAAAAATGGAAGAACGGAAACAACGCTCTGGGTGCATCTGTTCTATTTTGGGCGGCAGATCCAGCGAGGTGGAACTCCGAAATCTGGGCAGAAAATAATTCGCAGGAGCGTCTCTCCTCCCCAATCTGTTCGTGCCATCCATCCAGCTCTTCTCCTGCCTGAAATAATGAGAGTTAAGCGTCAGTTAAGAGGCAGCCAAGCCCGAATTTACTCCTTCAGTCATTTTTATAAATTGCCCTTTAGGAAGAGGGGGGAAAAAGAAAGAAAGACTCTGCGTGGTATAGACCAGGGGTCCCCAACCTGTGGGCCGTGGGCCGGTACCGGGCCGTAGCCTGTTGGCCACTGGGCTGTGGTAATGAATGGCGAGTGCGCACACCCTCCCACTTATGCCAGTGTCATGTGGGTGCTAGGCCCCTCTGTGGGTGCATACGCATGGGCACTAGAGGCCCGTGTGTGCATGCGCGTGGGTGCTAACGGCCCATGCGTGCATATGCATGGGCGCTAGTGGCCCGTGTCTGCATGTGTGTGGGTGCTAGTGGCCCATGTGTGCATGTGTGTGGGCGCTAGTGGCCCGTGTCTGCACGCATGTGGTGCTAACAGCCCATGTGGGCATGTGTGCAGGCGCTAGTAGCCTGCTTGTACATGTGTGTGGGCGCTAGTGGCCCGTGTGTGCCTGGGTGTGGGTGCTAGTGGCCCGTGTCTGCATGCATGTGGCGCTAACAGCCCATGTGTGCATGTGTGTGGGCACTAGTGGCCTGTTTGTACATGTGTGTGGGTGCTAGCGGCCCATGTGTGCATGCGTGTGGGTGCTAGTGGCCTGTGCCTGCACGCATGTGGTGCTAACAGCCCATGTGTGCATGTGTGCAGGCGCTAGTAGCCTGTTTGTACATGTGTGTGGGCGCTAGTGGCCCATGTGTGCATGTGTGTGGGCGCTAGTGGCCCGTATGCACGCATGTGGCACTAACAGCCCATGTGTGCATGGGTGTGGGTGCTAGTGGCCCGTTTCTGCATGCATGTGACGCTAACAGCCCATGTGTGCATGTGTGTGGGCGCTAGTGGCCTGTTTGTACATGTGTGTGGGTGCTAGCGGCCCGTGTGTGCATGCGTGTGGGCGCTAGTGGCCCGTGTCTGCATGCATGTGGCGCTAACAGCCCATGTGTGCATGTGTACGGGCGCTAGTAGCCTGTTTGTACATGTGTGTGGGCGCTAGTGGCCCATGTGTGCATGCGTCTTCCACTGGGCGGTCCAGATGGAGGGAGGGAGGGAGGGAGGGAGAAAGGAAGGAAGGAAGGAAAAGGGAGAGAGGGGGGATGGATGGATGGATGGATGGAGGGAGGGAGGGAGGGNCAAAATCAGGGCATTCACCCAAGTTACATTTACTCAGCTGCCGGCCTCTAAGGTTGTTGTTTTTCTTTGTTCTTTTTGTTCTCCAGCTGTGTTTTACAGCTTTTTTTAACATAAATATTTCAAATTAACAATGGAACACGCGGACAGATTGGAATTTGTACAGATCAGACTGCTCTCCGGGGCCACCCATTGTTTCTGGACCAGACAAGCCAGATCCCAAAAGACTGAATAACAGAATAACAGAGCTGGGAAGGGACCTCGGAGGTCTTCTAGTCCAGCCCCCTGCTCAAGCAGGAAACTCTGTAGCGTTTCGGGCAAGCGACTGTCCGATCTCTTCTTAAAAACCTCCAGTGATGGAGCACCCGCAACTTCTAGTGGCCAGCTGTTCCACTGGTTAATTGTCCTCACTGTCAGGAAGTTTCTCTTTAATTCCAGGTTGCTTCTCTCCTTGATTGGTTTCCATCCGTTGCTTCTTGTCCTGCCTTCTGGTGCTTTGGAGAAGAGGTGGACCCCCTCTTTTTTATGGCAGCCCCTCAAATATTGGAAGAATGCTATCATGTCTCCCCTAATCCTTTTTTTCATTGAGTTAAACCTATCTAGTTTCCTTAGCCATTCATCATACTATTGAGTCTTTATTGCTCTTCTCTGAACTCTTTCTAGGGACTCCCAGTCTTAGGACTGTTACTCATCCGAGCAGAATCCATGAATCAGACAGATGGGTGGGTTCAAGGAGAGGCTGTACAGCTATTTGTCTGGGACATTTGGGTTTGGGTTCCTACTCTCCTTAGGGGATTAGACTAGATGACCTCCAGACCCCTTCCAGTTTTAGGGTTCTGACTCATCCACGACCCTATGTCTTAAAACGCAGGGGGGAGAGAGAGAGAGAAGAGAGAAAAAGAAAGAGAGAATGAGAAAGAGAAAGAGAAAGAAAGGAAGAGAGGGAGAAAAAAGAGTAGAGAGAGGAAAAGAATAAAATAAAAAAGAGAGACAGAAAAGAGAAAGAAAAAGGAAGAGAAAAAGAAAGAAAGGGAGAGAGGAAAAAAGAAAAAGAGAAAGAGAGAAAAAGAGAGGGAGAAAAAAGAGTAGAGTGAGAAAAAGAAAGAAATAGAAAAAGAGAGAAAAAGAAAGAGAGAGAGAAGAGAAGAAGAAAGAAAGAGAAAGAAAGAAAAGAGAGAAAGGAAGAGAGGGAGAAAAAAGAGCAAGAAAGAGAGAAAGAGGTAGAAAAAGAGAGTAGAGAGAGAAAAAGAAAAAAATAGGAAAAGAGAGACAGAGACAGAAAACAAAGAGAAAGAGAGTAAGAAAGAAGAAAGAAAGAAAGAGAGAGAGAGAGAGAGAAAAAAAGAAAGAGAGAAAGAGAGAAAAGAGAGAAAGAGAAAAGAGAGGAAGAAAGAGTAGAAAAAAGAGTAGAGAGAGAAAAAGAGAAAGAAATAGGAAAAGAGAAAGAGAGAGAAAGAGAAAAACAGAGAGAAAGAATGTTCTATTCTATTTTTCTATTCTATTCTACAATCTGTTATTTCTATTCTATTCTATTCTATTTATTCTATTCTATTCCATATTTTCTATTCTATTCTATTCTATTCTATTCTATTCTATCCAACCTATGCTGGACCCCTCCCGTTTATACATCTTTCACAATCTGTCAGGGGTTAAATAGCAACGACACCTCACCTTATAAAACTCCTCTTTCAAATGATAATTCAGTGTAAATTTCAGTCCTTCACTCCTCGTATTCTCCCCTTGGTCAAGCATAAAGTTATTTCCGATTTTTTCCCCCCATTTAATCAAACGATCTCGGACGTGTTCAGCTTCCGTATTCCTTTTCCATGGCCATTTATACATCTCAGCGCTCACACCTTCGTCCCTAGTACATAAATCCAATTCAAAGTCGCTTTTTCTCATTCATTAAAAAACACAATTCTTCTCGTCCGGTTTAAATCTGTCAATTTGCACCTGGCAAAATGCATGGATGGATACGGCCCTCTCTTCCCGGTTCTTCTCCAGTTTTTAATTTAGGTTAAAATGAATTTATTAATCGGTGGAACTGCCTGACCCCAGAAGTTGTGGGTGCTCCGTGACGGGAGGTCTTCAAGAAAAAACGGGACAGCCACTTGACTGGGATGTTATCTCCAACCTTAAGGACTTTGAGACTATTGGACTTCAACTCCCAGAATTCCCCAGCCAGCATAGATTTCTGGGAGTTGAAGTCCTCAAGTCTTAAAGTTCCACAACTGGACACCACTGGTATAGGGTTCCCTGCTTGAGAAGGGGGTTGGACTAGAAGACCTCCAAGGTCCCTTCCAACTCTGTTGTTCTCCTTGAGTGCAAGTCAATAAATCCACATAGGTCAACCCAGTTTGTGTCAACAATTTCTCTTCTAAGAAAAGCTTCCACAGGTGACAACTATAAAGAAATATGAGGAGTCCATCATACTTTATATCTCTTTCAAACTCTCACTACGGCAAGCCGAACAAAATGATTTTGAAAATCTATATTCACCTGTGAGTTTGTCGTTCCATAAAGAGCCGTGCCACTAAACTGGCCTCGGTTTGTGTACAGGCAGTCCTTGACTTATGACGAACAGAATAACAACAGAGTTGGAAGGGACCTTGGAGGTCTTCTAGTCCAACCCCCTGCTCAGGCAGGAAACCCTGTATGATTATGGTCGTATGCCATGACGGTTGTAAAACAAGTCACCACATGACCAGACCCCGATTTTATAACCTTTTTTGTGGCAGTTATAAATTAATGGACGTTAAGTGAATCCATTGTTCACTATGGGGCATTTTTTGCTGGAAATTGGAAATATAAACGCCAATTTCTGACAGAAATATTGTAACTCAAACATAAAACCAGGGGTAGGCAACCTTCAACTCCCAGAATTCCTGAGCCAGCATGGGGGAACTATGGCCCCCTCATGACTCGTGGACTTCAACTCCCAGAATTCCTGAACCAGCATGGCTCAGCTTGGAAACCTCTCCCTTTCCCCTCAGCATGGCTGGCTCAGGAATTCTGGGAGTTGAAGTCCACAAGTCATAAAAGAGCCAAGGTTGCCTACCCCTGCGTAAAACGAACAAATTTAATAATAATAAAAACTACCATACAGCCGCAGGATACTGCAAACAGCTGCAGATGCAGTTTTTAGCTTCCTTAAGTGCTTAATAATAATAATAATAATAATAATAATAATAATAATAATAATAATAATAATAATAATAATAATAATAATAAAGTTGGAAGGGACCTTGGAGGTCATCTAGTCCAACCCCCTGCTCAGGCAGGAAACCCTATACCATTTCAGACAAATGGCTTATGGGGAGTCCGTCGCAACTTCAAACCGTCGCTAAGCAGGCTGTCGTAAGTAGAGGACTACCGTTATTACACCCAGCGGAGTCCTCACGCAATAGGAGATGCCTCAGCTGGTGATCTAAAAGTTTTCTAGGCTCTTAATTCATCCCCCCCCCCTTTTTTTTTTTTTTGTTTTGCAAGGGAAGGGAAGATAAAAGTCCTGCCAGGAGAAAAATAAACGAATCAATCTGATTTTTTTCTTCTTGCTTCTTGCAGATCTTCAGTTAGAGACCTGGGACCTGAAATGCGAGGAGAACAACCAGGATCACAAGACCTCCGAAATGGGCTCCCATCGGCTCGTCGTACGCCGAGGACGGCCCTTCCGGATCACCCTGCACTTCGCGGGCAGAGCGTACCAAGAGGGCGTGGACAGGCTCAGCTTCATCGCCGAGACAGGTGAGCCTCGGTGGCCTCTGGGGAGGAGGTGGGATGGATCACAACTCCCATCATCCACAGCTGGCCCTTGCAGATGGGGGTGTGACCTGACACACACCTTGCAGGAATAGGCAAACAGGCCCACAGGAAATGTGTTGGATCGTGTTGCGTAGGTGGGTGATTCTCAACCTCACCCAACCTTGGAAGATGAGTGGTCTTCAACTCCCAGAATCCCCCAGCCAGCATCGCTTTATTGATGGATGGCAAGTTTTTGGGGTTTTTTGACGAAAACTTGTTATTTCTGACCAAAAAAACCCCCCAACCCTCCTGTTGTGGACAGTGGAGCCACTTAATGACCGTCATGTTCACTTAACATTGCCGTATTCACTTAAGGACTATCACATTCGCTTAATGGCGGCTGTGTTCTGTTAATAACCACCCATCTATCCCATGGGTGCCTCAACGACCACATGACATAGGATGGAAAGTCCAGGTTTCTTGACGGTCATAAGCCGAGGACTGCCTGGGACCCTACTCCTGGGTCTCCCCCATTTGTTTTCAGAGAAAATTTTATTTAGTAGATTTTTTAATTATTATTATTATTATATTAAGGTTTTTTAAAATTGTTTTAATTTGAGAACCGTCAGGCGCCCAGAGTCACTTGCTTGAGTTGGGTGGCTAAGGAAATTCAACGAATACCTACATAAAGATCAGTAAATAAAATGCACTTTCAGAATAAGCCTCCTCACCAAACAGCCTGGAGCCCTGTAGAAATTGAAAATGAATGAATGAATGAATGAATGAATGAATGAATGACGGAAGGAAGGAAGGAAGGAAGGAAGGAAGGAAGGAAGGAAGGAAGGAAGGAAGGAAGGAAGGAAGGAAGGAAGGAAGGAATCCATTTTCATATGAAACCTCCCCACCAAATGGCCTGGAATCCTGTAGAAATTGAGTAGATAAAAAAATAAATAATAAATATTATACCATGTTTATTATGGTGCAATAAATATACTGCATCCAGTTTTGGTTATCATAACGTAAAAAAGATGCCGAGACTCCAGAAAGAGGGCAGAGAAGAGCAACAAAGATGATCAGGGGACTGGAGGCTAAAACATACAAGGAACGGTTTCAGGAATTGGGGATGTCTAATTTAAGGAAAATAAGGACCAAGGGCGACATGATAGCAGTCTTCCAGTATTTGAGGGGCTGCCACAAAGAAGAGGGGGGTCCACCTATTCCCCAAAGCCCCTGAAGGCAGGACAAGAAGCAACCTGGAATTAAGGAGAAACTTCCTGACAGTGAGGACAATTAACCAGTGGAACTACTTCCCTCCAGAAGTTGTAGGTGCTTCATCACTGGAGGCTTTTGACCACAGACTGGACAGCCACTTGTCTGGAATGATATAAGCTTCCCTACCTTGGACTAGAATAGCATACAATAACAGAGTTGGAAGGGATCTTATAGGTCATCTAGTCCAATCCCCTGCCCAGGCAGGAGACCCTACATCATTTCTGACAGAGGGCAGTCCAGTCTCTTCTTGAAAGCCTCCAGTGATGAAACACCCACAACATCTGAAGGCAACTTCTGTTCCATTGGTGGATTGTTCTCACTGTCAGGAAATTTCTCCTAATTTCTAGGTTGAATCTCTCCTTGACCGGTTTCCATCTGTTATTCCTTGTCTGGCCTTCAGGTGCTTTGGAAAAAAGGCTGATCCTCTCCTCTCTGCGACAGCCCCTCAATTATTGGTAGACTTCTATCATGTCACCCCTGGTCCTTCTTTTCTCTAGACTGGAGAGTGTTCTTGTTGTTAGTTGGGAAGTCGTGTCCGACCCATCGCGACCCCATGGACCACGTTCCTCCAGGCCTTCCTGTCCTCCACCATCTTCTGGAGTCCATTGAAGCTCTCGCCTCCTGCTTCAGGGACTCCATCCAGCCACCTCCTTCTCTGTCGTCCCCTTCTTCTCTTGCCCTCCATCTTTCCCAGCATCAGGCTCTTCTCCAGGGAGTCCTTCCTTCTCATTAGGTGGTCAAAGTCCTTGAGTTTCCACTTCAGGATCTGGCCTTCTAAAGAGCAGTCGGGGTTGATCTCCTCCAGGACTGACCGGTTGGATCGCCTTGCAGTCCAGGGGACTCGCAGGAGTCTTCTCCAGCACCATCGTTCAAAGGCCTCCATTCTTTGGCCGTTGTAGGACCCTCAAAACCTTGGCTGTTGTTGTTGTTAGTTGCAAAGTCATGTCCAATTCATTGGGACCCCATGGACCACGTTCCTCCAGGCCTTCCTGTCCTCCACCATCTTCTGGAGTCCCTTGAAGCTCAGGCCTCCTGCTTCAGGGACTCCATCCAGCCCCCTCCTTCTCTGTCGTCCCCTTCTTCTCTTGCCCTCCATCTTTCCCAACATCAGGCTCTTCTCCAGGGAGTCCTTCCTTCTCATTAGGTGGCCAAAGTCCTTGAGTTTCCACTTCAGGATCTGGCCTTCTAAAAAGAAGTCGGGGTTGATCTCCTCCAGGACCGACCGGTTTGATGGCCTGGCAGTCCAGGGGACTCGCAGGAGTCTTCTCCAGCACCATCGTTCAAAGGCCTCCATTCTTTGGCGCTGAGCCTTCCTTATAGTAGACCTCTGTTATTCTGTTAAATAAATACATGAAATTTACTTTCAGAGGAAACCTCCCCACTGAACATCCTGGTCTCCTCCGAAGCTCTGTCGGGTGTTCACAGCCTGAATCCCCACATTCCTCAATGGGGTGGGAAGGGAGGAGGAAGGCTGTGGAGTGGGGTGGGCTGGGGGGGGTGTCCACGTGGTCCTTGGCCCAGGTTTTATCTCTTCCATCCAGGCAGCCTGTGGGCAGAGAAGGCTTCGAGGCAGGGAAACAAAGGCAGGAAGTGGTGGGACTGTCCTTTCCCACAGTGTTCCCTCCCTTGTGTTCCCAAACAAAGCGGTCGCTGCGTCGGCCCTCCCTGGGGGGGGGG